GTTCTTGGACAATCCCTGCTTACTTGGCACTTTGCTACTGGGTCCTCCAATAACTGATCTTTGGCAGCCAGGGATTATAAAGCAACCAAGGCCAAAGAAAGGTAAGGAACAGCTTGGAGATATGCTATAGGATCGACATCAACTGGTAACAGTGTGGGAAAGGGGAGTGAATGTGTGGAGGAGGTACCATTTGTTTAAATGTAAAAATATGAAGTAAGTTAGTACATTTTTCACTTCTGTCTGAGTCACTCTTCTGGGTAAACAGGCTAAGGATGAGTAAGAACTGACTCAGATCCCCATGGCAAAGGGAGATACTCGTTCTCCTTTGTCATCAAAGAATATTTACTGATGATGTAGCACTAGGATGAGCACTGTATAAAGTGCTCTGGCAGGGAAAGTAACATCGATTTTGCACTGTGGGAGTTATAGGAATAAATATGTGCACAGTTCAACATTCATTGGGCATACTTTTATAAAGCATCTTCAGTGGGCCAGGCACTGTGTGCTAGGAGCTGGGGTTGCAAAAACAAAAATTAAATAGTCCCTGCTGTCAAGGAATTTACATTTTATCAGGGCAAACAGTATGTACCTAGCAAACTAAGTTTGAAATACCTACGTGGTAATGTGGAGAGGGGCACTAGCAACAAAGGGGCTGGAGATTTGGACAGGCTTTTTATAGGCATTGACACTTGAGCAGAACTTGTTAAGAAAACAGAGATTCCAACAGAGAGAGGTGAAGAGAGAATACATTCTGGGCCTGGGAGATGGCCTGTGAAGAGAGCTTATGATGGAGTCCTGGCCACATGTTGGGGTGGGATGAGTTGGATGGTACAGCAAAATAGGCTGAGAAGGACTGATCATGCAAGTAGGAGAACCATAAGAGAACAGGGTTAAGACAATCCAGGAACCAAAACATCTAGGAGGAGGAGATTGTCAAGTGTCTAACACTACAGAGCAGCTAGGAAGGCTTCTTGTTATCGTTTATCTTTCATTCTTGAAGAGGACCATGACATCAGGGGGGCAATGTCATAACTTGTAAGTGAATTGCATTTAAGTGAGGGAGGGTTGTGCAAAGTCACCAGCCTCACTCTCTCCTCCAGAGCCATCTGGGTCCAGTGGCAAGATACAGAACAGGATGACTGAAGATGGCCCCCCAATGGGAAGGATAAGGACTGAGAAAAGGCCATAGTTTTGGCAATTAACAGTTTGAACAGTAAAGTATTTCAGGAGGTTATACTGCTAATTACAATATTATGTTCCCTGGTGGGTTGGAGGGGAACAATAATCCCCCAAATAGGGGATTTCACTTGCCTTAGGAGGATCCAGTTAAAACACCATTCTTTCATTCATTCAACAAGTATTTATGGTAGATACGTTGTATCACCTTTACTATTGGAACAGAGGACTAGCTCCCTCTTCCCTAAAGCCAGCATAAAGCTGAGCGTGCACGGTCAATTCAAAAGGCCAGTTATTCTTGGCTTTTTCAATCCCATGTAGAGGTTGGTGCATGTATAGATATTTTCTAAGTGGTTCTTGTCTCTTGACCACTTGGTGAACAGGAGTTTCTTGCATCGGCCTAGGTTAGGTTCAGAACTCAGAGCATTTAAAAAGCACCAGTCTACCTCAACCTTTGTCTCTTGGTTTGAACTTCTTTCAGTTTAGTGATATTCTGGTGAGAGACAATACTATAAGAGAAGAGGCCTTTGGTCTTCGAATAGAGACCTCAGTTCTTGCCAGTGTTTGTTCTTTCATTTTAGGTAAAGAAGGTGACTGTAACACTGTGAGCTTTGAGAGGTGAGGATCGAGTACCACCAGAGAGGTCCAAGAGTGAAGTCTGTGTCAGTTTTTCACTTAGCTGGTCCTGCTCTGAGGCCCTGATGAGCAACGAATGACCTTGAGGTGGGCCCAGTGGAATCCAGCCCAATAGTAGCTAAGACAAGGGCTCATCCAGGAGTGGTGCTATATTTGGACACAGATATGGTGGGACAAATGTTACACAGAAACTGTGTTAAGTCTGAGTCCACTCTCCCCAGAGATTGAAGTGGTATAGGGGACAGTGTTGCTCCTAGTGTGGAGGGGAAATGTTTGTATGTCTGTCTTGATATATCTTTGAAGTAAATATTCCTTTGTAAAAGCTAATTGATACTATTCGTTAAAAAAGAATGGAGGCAGTTAAAAGCAGGAAGAGGACTCTACTGGAATGGGGGCTTGAGCCTATAACAGAAGAGACACTGCCACCCCTCAGGAGTATTTCTAGAACCCTGAAGGGGCAACATAACTGGCTGTCTCCAGGGAAATTGAGGCCAAAGTTCCTGCGACATTATAATAATTTTGTTCTAAAGTATAGAGGGGTTAGTTATGAACCGGATTAGTAGAGGGAGTATTAAAAAAAATAAAAAACAAAAACAAAAACAAAAACAAAAGTAGAGGGAGTACTTACAACAATGAAATTAAAGATCTTTGCTAAGTGAGATAATTTTTATTTTTCCTAAACTAAAGTCTTAATAGTTTTGTGAAGGTTATCCTGGGTTCTTAAAATTATGGTAGCAAATTCACAGGTTCTAATTTTCCAAGCTGACGTTTTGGTTATAGCCTAGAGACTCTATTAGGATAGCTGTAGTCTTCTCCCCTCTTCTCTGTTTGGCGTTTAAAGCTCTTTATAATCTGGCTCCAATCGACCTTTCCATATTTAGTATATCTCACTCCCTTCACGTGCTCTTTGATCCAGACAAACTGGCCTTTTAACTGTTCCTCAAACAGAGCAATCAATCAATCAATCAGCAAGCATTTATTAAAAGTGCTTACTATGTGAGGCACTGTGCTAAGTGCTGAGAATACAAAGAAAGGCAAAAACATTCCATCACCTGCCTCTCTGCTTTGGCGTGGGTTATCTGTTGCCCTGACTGGAATGCATTCCTCCTTCACCTCTGCCTCTTAGAAGCCTCAGTTTCTTACAAATCTCACTTCAAGGGCCACCTTCTACATGAAGCCTTTTGAACTCTTCCCAGCTGTTAGTGATATTTTTTTTATTTTGTGTACAGTATACACATATGCATGTATGTGCATATATATACATGATGTACATGCATGTACATATACATATATGTGTATATTATATAAGGCAGCAAGATGTAGTTGGTAGTAATGGATAGAGATCTAGTCTTAGAGCCAGGAAGGCCTGGATTTTAATCCCACCTCTGACATATACTGGCTATGTGACCACGGGCAAATAACTTGACCTCTCTAAGTCCACATATAAGTCATAGAAAAGGTGCAGACCTATATTGGTGGAGGGAGTTTCCTCATCTGGAAGGTCTTTACACCAGTGAAATCACAAGTCTAGGCCTTCCCCTCTCTCCCCCCTCCCCCATGTATATGTTTTCCCCATAGATAATATAAGATCTTACAGGGACTGTTTCATTTTTTGGTTTTGTATCCACTGTGCCTATACAGTGCCAAACACCTATTACGTGCTTAATGAATGTTTGCTCTTTGGTTAGTTGATTGATCTCTCTTCAGAGGCCCAGGGAAGCTCAGGTTCAGAATGATGCATCTCTGGTTGCCCGATGATTAGTTCCAGGGTCACAGCAACTCTCCCAAAAAAGACTACCTTCCAAGTAGGGGGAGTGGGTTGAGACCTGCATTGGCAGAGGGAGTGCCCACACCTTCACAATCTCAGATCATATAGAAGTCTAATTTTATCCTCCCAACTATTTTAACCTGCACTCATCCACAAAAATTTTCTTTGTTTTCTGTTTCCTCAGCTGGATTTCAGAACTGCCGGTATGCAGAGACTACCTTCTTACATCTTACTAACCCTGAAGCAGATGCAGTGACATTGGCTTCCTTGTGATTCCTCCAAGACACTCCTGGCTGTCCCCCATGCCTGGAATTCTCTCTCTCCTCACCTCCACCTCCTGGTTTTCTTCAGTCCCAGCTAAAATCCCACCTTCTATAAGAAGCCTTTCCCAATCCAATCCCTATTAATGCTAATTTCTTCCCTCCATTGATTAGCTCCAATTTATTCTATATATATAACTGGCTTGTACATTATGAATTCCTTGAGAGCAGAGATCGTCTTGTCTTTTTTTGTACCCCCAGCACTTAGCACAGTGCCTGGTACATAGTAGGTTTACTTAATAAATGCTTATTGACCGACTGATTGATAATGATAACAAGGATTTATGTACACTTTAAGGTTTGCAAAGCACCTTACCAATATCATCTCATTTGATGCACAACACACAAACCTGTGAAGTAGGTGATAGCTCCATTTTACAAAACAGAGACTCAGAGAGGGCAGGTGACTTGTCCGGGGTCACATTCGAACTCAAGGTCTTCCTGATTCTTCTAAGTCCAACATGTACCGGCACACCCGGCTTGGCACGCAGTGGGCACTCGGCAAATGCCCGTTGCTTGCCCACCCTGACACCGGTGGAGGTCAGAGCCGGCCGCCCTCCGAGGAGGCGGCGGCGTCGGGTGGAAGTCGGGGAGGACCGCGTGGAAGGCGTCGTGGGACTGGAGCCGAGGACCAGTACTCAGGTGGAGAGAGATGCACGCGGCTGGAGGCAGCCGAGCTAGGGAGGGGAGGGCAGCCCGGGAGGAGCGGTGGGCGGGGCATGGGGCGGAACCACGGCGGCAGGCCCCGCCCCCGTGTGGCGGCGGTGCCGGTCGCGGGGGGGGGGCGGGAGACGCTCTGTCCCACGCTCCGCCCGTGCTCAGTGGTTAAGATGGCGGCAGCGGCGGCGGCGGCGGCAGCGGCGGCTTTGGGGGCGCGGGGCCGCCGGAGGGGGAGGGAACGCCGGAGCCCGTGAGTCGCCCGCAGCCCGGTGGAGGCGGCGGCCGAGACCCCGCGCACGAAGGCCGCTCGGCCGGGCCGGCCGCCGCCGTAGCGAGCGAGCGAGCTAGGGAGCGCCAGGCGGGGAGCCCCGAGGCCGGAGCCGGGAAGGGAGGAATGTGACCGGGGGTCGGCGGGGGCTCGGGAGTACGCGAGCGCGGGGATGGGGCAGCAGGTGGGCCGCGTCGGGGAGGCGCCGGGGCTCCAGCAGCCGCAGCCCCGCGGGAGCCGCGGGAGCAGCGCCGCCAGGCCGGCCGGGCGCAGGCGGGACCCGGCGGGGCGCACGGAGGAGGCCGGCTTTAATATCTTCACCCAGCATGGTGAGTGAGGGAGGGGGCGAGCGGGCGGGGGCGCGAGGGGAGCCCGGGCCGGGACCCCGGGCGTGGGCCTCCCCGTGGGAGCCAGCGCCGGGGACCGCGGGCGACCCTGCGAGGAGGAGGAGGAGGAAGGAGGAAAGAGAAGGGGGAGGGGGAAGGGGTGCGCAGCAGAACGCGTGAGTTGTACCCCAGAGGATGGACAGATGGGCTCCTGATCCAAGGGGGACAACCGAGGTCAGCAGAGGAAACAAACCTAGGTGTCAGGAGGATGGGGGTGCGGGGGCTGCATCTCAAAGTCAAGTCAAGTCCTCGAGGCTCTAGGAATCTTAGAGACTACCCCAGATTTATCCTGGCTTTTTCTCGTTTGCATCACCCTGCGAGCTCCTTGGGAGCAGGGACTGTTGGATTTTTGTCTCTATCTCCAAGCGCTTGGCACGTAGTAGGCGCTGAACCCACAATGTGTAATCTGGGAAATGGAGACGGAAAAGAGGGAAATGGGCATATGCACTTCGAAGGTTGAGGGATACAGAAGGACTTGAGCTGATCTGAGTTCCGTGAGAGGCTTTGGAGACTTGAGGGGAGAGAGGAGAAGTAGGGAGCTATATTATAAGGAGGCATAATTGAAGGACAGAAAGATAAGGTATGGGTTTTCTAAAGAAGCTGCTGTCAATGTCCAGGAATATTTGGTGATATTGATGGGTATGAGAAAGGAAATAGGGCTACTACAGGTCTAACAGCTGTACTGATTTTTCCAGGGTGGGCATTTGATAAAGGTGTAGTATGAGCTAATTTCTATTGAGATAATTCCATATGGAGGAAAGTGTGGATAAACAATTCTTAGGAAAATATATATCGAGGTATTTTTGTGAGTGTGCCCTAAGGTTCTGCCTAGGGTAGTTTTCTCTCTCAATGATCTCATTAGATTCCTTGGGTTCGATGATCATGACAGTGACTCCCAGACTTATAAATCCATCCCTAGTTTCTCTCCTGAGCTCCAGTCATGGCATTGGTCAGCCGACCATTGGACGTTTTCCACTGGATGTTTCGAAGGCATCTTAACATCTGTGTCAGTTGGTGGGGAAGCATTTATTGAGCACCTGCTTGTGCCGGGCACTAGAAAGAAAAAGATAAATTCAGAAGTTCAGGCTTTCAAGGGGCTTCCACTCTACAGGGAAGTACAACGTACAACATATTTCCTTATACATATGTACAAAATATATACACAGTAATTTTGGTGGTGAAGCACTGGGAACTAGAGGGCTGTGTAAAAGTTGTTCTTTTTTTTTTTTTAATCAAAACATGCCCTTTTCTCAACTTCCTTACTTCTGTTGAGGGTGCCACCATCTTCCAGTCATCGAGGTTTACAACTTTAGAGTCATTACATTTTATTCTTCCCTCCACCCTTCTTAATCAGTTGCCAAGTTTTGTCAGTTGTAAATTTTACCTCCTCAATTTTCCTCACATGCAACCCCCTTCACACCACTCTTACCACAACTACTATAATTTAGGCTCTTATCTCTTCTTGCCTAGACTTCTGCTACAGCTTCCTAATTGGGCTCTCCAATTTGTACTCTATACAGCTGCCGAAGTGATTTTCCAAACACAGGTTAGACCATGTCACTACCCACTTCAACAGGGTCCAATGGCTCCCTATTTCCTCTGGGACAAAATATAATCTCTGGCATATAAAGCCCTTCATCTGGCCCCAATCTGTCTTTACTGGTTTCCTATACGTTTTTCTCCTTCACTCTTTCTACATTTTAGCCAAAAGGACTCATTGGCTACATATACCTTGTTCTTGACATTTTATTAGCTTTTGCAGGCTTTCCTTCATGCTGTAATGTACTTCTTCCTTCCTTTTGCTTCTTAGAATTCCTAAGCAGCTCGCTTTAACATTTAGCTCAAGTGCCATCCCCCAAAGGAAGCCTTTTCCTGATTATTTGTACCCTTCCCCCAAGTATAGGTGCCCATATTATTTCCTTTTTACACTGTTTGTATATGGTATTTATTTATGTAGTATGTAGCACATTTAGGTACTAAATGAAAAATTGTTGATTGAGAAATAGATCTAACCTAAAGAATGATTCCTTCCCTTTAAGGAATGTTCAGTCTAGCTGGGAAGATAAGAATAACACATGTGAAACTGTTATAGAATAATTTAAGACCAATTTTAAAGAAGGGAGATATCAAAAAGTGCTTGGAGTAGTCAGAGAAGATGGGACTTCAGTTAGGCTTTGAAGGGGATAGAAAGGAGGAGGGAAAAGGGAAGAAGGTGGTTTAGATGAGAGGAAAGACTTAGAGGATGAATGTAGTGTTTGTGGGACAGTGAGGGTGAAGAGTTTGTTTTGAGTGTTACTGGAGAATATGGATGATTAGGTAGGGTGCAAACATACAAGGCCTTGAAAGCCAGGTTAGAGGAGTTTTGAGTTGATTTGGTAGCAAAGAAAGAACATTTGAAAATTTTGGAGAGGATTGGCATGATGACGAATGAGTCAAAAAGCACTTAGTAAGCTATTACTACGGGTGAAGACAAATATAAAATTAATGCCATAGATGTACTCAAGGAGTTCTCATTGTAGGAGGGGGAGCGCTCAACAGTGAAGCAGATAGTTGTACACTTTCCTTAATATCACTTCTGTTGATAAAACTGTATCTGTTTTTGATGTCGTGCCATTTGACAGTTCCAAGGACTTTGGGGAGAATTCTCTTTTCTGAGTTGTCTCTATCTGTGGTTGCTGAGAAGGCCAGGGCTGCAGAACTTGCAGAAGCAATTGCCGGGTTACCTTTCTATACAGATTAATTCCCTGGGTGATGGTTGCAAGAGCTAGATTAGAAGCAAGGACTATGATCTGGGGGGCACAGGTGTTTACCAGGTCTTTTTAGCACAAAGTCTCTCCAGGGTCTGAGAAGCAATGGCAGGAAACATTCTCTTAGAATTTGTCACAGAGGAAAGGAAGGTTATACATGAGGTTATACCTCAGATTTTTTTTTGAATGACAGTTTTCACAGAGTATAGATATGTAGGATCCTATAGCATAATTTATTCAGTGAAAGTTAGCTTAGAAATGTTGGGATGCTGTTACAACTAAAATAGCAGCTCACAGTTATACAGTCCTTGACAGTTTACAAAGCTTCTTCCTCACAACTTTATTGAGGTAGGTAGGGCAAAAATCTTGTTGATCATAAAATAATATTAAGGAAGATTAGTCTGGCAATGCTATACGGAATGGATTGGAATTGGGGGAGATGAATTGATGAGGTTAGCTATAGAAGATTGTTGCAGTAATCTAAGCATGAAATGATTAGCATTGGCCTCGCTTGGTGACAGTGAGATGAAAGGGAAGGAGTATGAATGATGTCTCAGGGAAAACTAGTAGGGATTTGGTAATTGCCTATAGAAAATATAAAAAATAAGAATCAGTCAAACCTGATTGTAAAGTTTCAAGTCTGAGTGACTAGGAGAATAATGTTGCCATTCTCAAATCCAACTGGTTTAACAAGCATGTACTGAGCATCTATTTTGAGGGAGGCGTGAAGTTCAGCACTAAGGGATTTGTGCAGAGGTACATCTCTGTCAAACATCTCTTGCCTTCGAGGATTTTGTAATCCAGTAGTGGATATAAGATATTCACAAATAACTATAAAAGAAAGTGGACTCTGATAAGTGCCTGTGAGCTATTTTCTGTAGTGCTATGTAACATCTGAGAATGGAGAGATACTATCCTAGGGGTTGCAAGTTAATCCTTTGGGGGAAGGGGGAAAAGGAACAAGCATTTATTAAATGCCTACTGTGTACCAGATGCTGTGCTAAGTGCTTTGCAAATGTTACCTCTTTCTTAAGGGAGGAGAAGTATTTTGTAGTAATTGATAACTCAAGAAGATTAGGCAGATATGGAAGAAAATAAAGATGGAATGAGCTCTTATTTAGAAAATTGAACATTTCGTGAGCTCTTCTGTTAAATTCTGAATTAATCTGTGGTACTTTCTGATGCTTTAGGAAAAATAGTGAAATACTGGTTGACATTTGATTTATAGACCTGAAACCTACAATGAAAAATTCTGAAACTATAACTGACATATGAATTGCTATTTAGAGTTAGAACTATATAGATAGAAATCTAGATACCTATCATCTATCTAGCTATTGTTCTAACTTCAGATAACAGTCCTAATCATCTGCATTCTCCAGTAACACTCAAACTCTTCACCACAGTTAGGTACTTCTCCTCATTGTCCCACAAACACTGCATTCACTCTGTTACACACACAGTTCTCCTTATCTAAAAGATGGCTTCCTTTTTCTCTCCTCCTTTCCATCTCCTTCAAAGCCTGACTAAAGTACTACCTTCTCTGACTACTCCAAGTTATATATGCACATACAAAGTTTCTATGTAATACATATTATATATATACATGTGTGTGCACATATACATTTATACATATACATCTGTGTGTGTGTGTACACAAATAGGTAGATAGTGCATCAGAGGTAGTAGTTAGATCTTAGTCTATTGAGTTAACCAGAAATAACCAGGAAAAATGAACAATGTTTGGCCGTGATAATGAGAGCCAGTTACTGTTTTGTGTTTCTTTACTTTGTGTGTTTCACACATCATATGCAGTGTTATTATGGTAGATTCCTTTACCTTGAAATCCTCTGCTTCATTGTGACTTGGCATTCTCTGGGTTCTTGAAGGTTATGACAGTAGAAATTAAGGTCTGGCAGATGCTGCCAAGCTGGAAAGTCTTGGAATATGGGACCTACAATAGATTGTATATCTCCTTTCTAGCTTAGCTAAGTTTGCATAGGCTTATTATATTAGGTTGACAACAGGGCAGTACCTCTTTTTGGGCACAGCAAATTTTAACCATCATCTCAGAAGTCATGGTGGGTAATGATATGCATTGGTGGATGAATCGCAGGGGTTTGAAGTAGTCAAATATGCTTCCTGATTTTAGTCTTTCATCCAAAATGGTAATTTTCTTAATGTGGACTAGATAAT